CTGAATGTTGGGAGAGGATGAAAGCGTCGTTTTTTGCAAAATGCACTTGCTTCTGAATGAAACTTGCGTAAAAAGCTGAGCAAAAACGCATGCTCGTGCCGGTTAGCCTGGTGCGTTCCAGCTGGGGTTTTATTTATGAACAGAAGCGAGCTTTTTTAGCACTGTTGTCTGTCCCGTCTGGCAAGGGACGAAAGACCCTTTGCCTCTTCCCTGGATTCGCTCGTGTCACTTACCTCCAAGCAAAGTTTCAGTTTCTTTTTAGTCAGTATTCAGTTTCCCTTCCTCTTTTACCATTTTCCGAGGCCTAAACCAGTTTTCTCGGTTTTCCCCGCTACCTTCTTCTACATCCCATCCTCATTCGCGTTGCGGTCACAACTTCCTTCGCCCAACTTCGCCTTCCTCTCTCCCAGCTGTTCAAGTAATTTCCAGTCATTGCAGGATGAAGTAACGAGAGGAAAAAGTCCGGAGCAGCTGATGGAGTATTATGGCGCACTTACGGTTGCTGCCCTATGGGGCATAACGAACACGCTGATCAGACGGGCCATTTGCATACAGCCATACGTGGAGCATAGCAGTATGTGCTAACATCGCTTCCAATAAGCTTTCTCCGAACTGTAACTGCGAATCAGTGGTAGGATGCGTCGATGGTGCATTTCTATTATGCGATGGTAGCAGCTCAGTGAGATGATCGCCGTTCAATTCAGTAACTGATCGATCGATTCGCCATTTTGACAGCTGACCGATCGAATCGCCATTCCATTCGGTAACTGACCGATCGAATCGCCGTTTGGCCCGGCAATTGACCGATCAATTTCCCGTTCAATTCAGCAAACAACCGGTCGAATCGCCGTCCGGTTCAACAAATTGACCGGTCGAATCACCGTTCGATTCCGCAATTGACCAATCAAATCGCCAGCCTCGCTGACCGATGATGCAACACGATGGCCATGATAATTTTAACTATAAATGAAAATTGCTTGAATGATTGCACAACGATGACACTGACCGTTCCAGTCGGAAAGATTTATCCATTAGATGCAGCAAGATTGTTGTTTCTTGAAGGAGTGTGGCTTACTGGGAAGGGGAAAGGGAAGTGTGGGGCGTTTTTTTCCCAGAAATGAGAGGATGAAGCTTTTATTCTTTCAGGAATGTGCCCAAAGGCGGTGCATCCGTTGCGGCAGTTCTGGCGTACTCTCACTTATCTTCCATTCTTTGTGCCGTTTTTGCTGAACCAGTTTGCTTCGGTAGGCTATGCTTCTGTCCGTTCACGAATACACATATACATATACACACCCCATGCACAAACACACACACAC